AGCCACAACATGTCTCTCCATACTGTTCTCAAGGATGCTACTCCACCAGTATGCAATTTAAAATCTCAAGCATTCCAAATCATGTAAAAAAAAGCACACATATGCTTCACATAGTGTAAATATCATAAAAAACATTTTATTAAATATAGAGCCACACTTACACACATTAAATCAAATGCACATAATATAAAATGCACCCAAGCCGGCAATAGGACCACACTTCCACAATATTTTGTGGGTGATGACGTCAGGGGGAGGCTCCACCCCACACTTCTGATATATTCTGCCTCCCCCATCATCATGCACAAAACATACCAGAAATATCCTATTGCTGACTTGGGTGGATTGCATAATATGCGCATTTGATTTTATGTTTGAAAGTGTGGGTCTATATGTAATAAACGGTATTTTTATGATATGTACACTATGTGGAGTGTATGTGTGCTCTCTTTACATGATATGTGTTTGGGGTGTATGGGGTGTGCAGGGAGGGGTAGCATCTCTGGTGTAAAGGCAGGTTGTGTCCTTTCAGGGCAGCTCTTCCACTTTTGGTCCCCACCTGGTCACTCAGCTCTCATCTGTGGCTCCTAGTAGCTGTAGCATGTGCAGCGGTCACACCCAGAACAACAGCTTCAACAGGCTGGCCAAACCAGGTTGAGAGTAGCTCTTAGGTCATTGACCTTCGGTGAGATAGGGACTTGTCTATACCAAGCATGTGAAGATTTCATCAAATTGAGCAGATGAACCCTACTAGAATAGGACAAAGCTCATGATGGTGGTCCCTGCAAGTGATGTGGTACGCTAAGAGCACGGCAAGACACAAAAGGCACCCTGGTCAACCACTGCACCCAGCCCATCTCCAACTGTCTCGGCTCATGTCCTGCCATTGCAGCAAGATGGAATCTGGGAAGAGAGAGTGAGGGTGACTATGCGCACCTCTCCCTCACTTTAATCCAATTCACGTGCAAGTCTTGACATCCCCCAACTCCTATAAATCTTGAAAGTCCTGTGGCGATGGGTGAGCAATGAAGCAGCAGGTGTGGATACACTAGGAGCTGTAGCCGCTGACCTGCACACAGGCGGCTCAGATCTAATGGTCGTCTTCCTGCTAACCGAAGCAACAGCTGGATTCAGTGTCTACCTGAGCGACTGAGCAGCCCTCTTTAGGACCATGCTGCTCACCTCCGTAGCAAGAGGAAAGTGCTGGAAAAGGTGCCCTAAACATTGTTGCTTCACAGAAGCCTGGCCAGCTTACCGCAGCTGGAGTGGATCCCATTTCATGCGGTCGAATAACAAAACTTCAAAGGAAACATAAGGTGACACCACTCATTATTGGCACATGGAATGTATGCATGCTTCAAGACAACCCCTCAGCAGATTGACCAGAAAGAAGAACAGCCCTGGTCACCTGAGAGCTTGCAAGATTTAACATCGATGTCATGGCCCTGTGTGAAACTTGTCTAGCCAATGAAGGTCAGCTTACAGAAACAGGAGGTGGTTATACTGTACATTCTTCTGGTGTGGATGCAGCAGTAATGAATGCCATGCATCTGGAGTTGTCTTTGGGGTTAAGAATCATCTTGTCCACAAACTTGCCAGTCTTCCCAAGGATGTGAACGACCGACTCATGACACTGCATTTACCACTACTGAGAGGAAAAAAAGCCACACTGATCAGCACCTATGCACCCACAATGACGAAACAGGATGAAGTAAAAGACAAGTTTTATGAAGATCTCGATGCCCTACTCTCATCTGTGAAGTGCACTGACAGGCTGATTCTACTTGGCGATTTCAACGCGAAAGTAGGATCCGATCATTCTGCGTCATTGGAAAAAATGGAATCTGCAAATGTAACAGTAATTGCCTATTACTACTGAAGACATGTACAGCTCATGATCTGATCATCACCAATACCGTCTTTTGCCTGTCCACTTCCAAAAATATGTTCTGGATGCACCCACGTTCCAAGCACTGGCATCTTATTGATTATGTCATCGTGAGGAGGAAAGACGGACAGGATGTACGGGTTACCAAGGCCATGCCGAGTGCTAACTGTTGGACTGGCCATAGACCTATCATCTCCAAATTAAGCTTTCACATCAAGCCAAAGAGACGTCCACAGGGAAACAAAGCTGTTATGAAACGGATTAACATCAGTAAACTGAGGAACCCCAACACAGCAGTTTCACTAGCAAAAAATATTGACAACCAACTCTCAGAGCTGCAATTAGAGGGAAATGCTGAGAAGGACTGGGAAGGCTTCCGGGATATTATGCACTCTTCTGCACTAAAAGTTCTTGGACCCTCACACAAGAAACACCAGGACTGGTTTGACGGAAATGATGATGATATCCATATCAGAACGACCCGTTGTCAACAGAAGATGACTTTAACAGCACTCACAAGACCATACAGAGCAAGCTGCACAAGATGCAGGACTCCTGGTTGAGTGCCAAAGCAGATGAAATTCAGAAGTTTGCTGATAGAAATGATGCCAAATAGTTCTATGAAGCCCTCAGATCCTTGTACGGACCTCAACCCTCAGGGAGCTTCCCTCTACTAGACTCAGATAGTGCAACTCTCATTACTGAGAAGACTCTGATCCTACAGCGTTGGGCTGAGCACTTCCAATCTGTACTCAACTGCCCATCTTCCATTAACAAGGAGGCGATAAACAGAATGCCCCAGGCAGATATCAACCACAGCCTGGATGCCCCACCAACAATGACTGAAACTCTACAGGCTATCATCCAGCTGTCCAGTGGCAAGGCCCCAGGATTTGATGTGATCCCAGTGGAAGTTTATAAGGATAGCAGTGCTTGTCGACAAACTCACTCTGCTGTTCCTGTCCTTCTGGAATCAAGGATCCATTCCTCAGGAACTGAAAGATGTGTCCATCGTACACCTCTACAAGAGGAAAGGGAATTGACAAGTCTGCGATAATCATAAAGGAATATCATTGCTTTCAATCGAAGGCAAGATCCTTGCACAAGGGTTGCTGAAGCGCTTTATTGACCACTTGGAACAGGGTTTATTACCCGAGACACAGTGTGGTTTCTGCAAAGAGCGTGGCACTGTGGACATGATCTTCACAGCCTGACAGCTCCAAGAGAAGTGTCAAGAGCAGAACCGTGAATTGTACACCACCTTCGTGGACCTCACCAAGGCTTTTGACACTGTCAGTCGCGAAGATCTGTGGCGCATCATGTCGAAGTTTGGATGCCCTGACAGATTCATCCTAATGGTACATTAGTTCCATGGCGGCATGATGGCTCATGTTGTTCACAACGGAGAAGCTTCAGAAGCCTTTCCCATTACAAACGGCGTCAAGCAAGGTTGCGCGCTGGCACCGACCCTGTTCAGCATAATGTTTTCAGCCATGCTGTCAGACGCCTTCCAGAACAGTTCTTTTGGAGTTAGCCTGAGATATAGAACCGATGGGAAACTGTTCAACCTGAGAAGACTCCAGGCTGTCACCAAGGTAAAGGAGACTGTGCTACGAGACCTCCTTTTTGCTGATGACTGTGCCCTGAATGCTGGATCAGAGCAGGAAATGCAAGCCAGTGTGGACAAATTCGCAGCAACATGTGACAACTTCAGTCTCCTCTTCAACGCAAAGAAGACCGAAGTGATGCATCAGCCAGCTTCAAAAGATCAACACCAAGACCCTACCATCACAGTGAATGGACAAAAGCTGCAAGCAGTGGGCCAATTTACATACCTTGGCAGCACCCTATCCCGCGCAGTGACAATTGATATCAAGGGCACCTGCAGAATCGCCAAGGCAAGCTCTGCATTTGGCAGACTACTGACCAACGTTTGGGACCACCGTGGAATAAGCCTTGCCACAAATCTCAAAGTCTACCGAGCAGTAGTGCTAATTACCTTGATGTATGCCAGTGAGACCTGGACTTTATACAGGAGGCATGCTAGTCAATTGAACCACTTCCACATGATCTGCCTCTGCAGAGATCTGAGTATCTGTTGGCAGGACAAGGTGCCAGAGCAGGCCTGCCATCAGTTCACACCCTGCTGATGAAAGCCCAGACACGCTGGGCAGACCATGTTGCAAGGATGCCAGACCACTGCATCCTTAAACAGCTCCTCTATGGTGAGCTGTCTGAAGAAATGCACGAAGGACAGACAAAGAAAGCGTTACAAAGACACATTGAAAGCCTCCTTCAAGTCCCTGAATATTGACATTACCTCCTGGGAAACCCTGGCACAAGATCAATCGACATTGTGCATGTTGATCCCCAAGGCTGCCAGACATTTCAGGAGAGAAGAACAACCATAGCACAAGAGAAGTGAGCACACTGCAAAGCCAGAGCTGCAAATGCTGCAACAGTGGTGCCCACATACAGTATATCTGTCCAACATGTGGCAGAACATTTCATGCCCGTATAGGTCTTACCAGCCACCTACGGACACACTGTGGACAGCTCACTACCTGTTAGATGTCAAGGTCCTCTTTGAACACGATGGATGAACATCATCATCATGTGTGCTCTCTTTACATAATATGGGATATTTGAAATTTTAAATTGCATACTGGCTGAGTGGCATTCTTGAGATTGGCATGGAGATACATGGCTCTTTTCACCACCAGTATGCTCTTGTGACAAAAATAATGTACCGTATTTTCCGGCGTATAAGACAACTTTTTTTACTTAAAAACATACCCCAACAATCGGGGGTCGTCTTATACGCCGGGTATAGAACGCTGGATGTGCGGTAATACTGTATGGTAGCTTCAGCTACATACAGTGTACCGCGCTGAGCCAATCACGGCGAGCGATGTATTCTATTAATGAATACAGAGCCTGCTCGGATTGGCTGAAGTTGTGACATCATCATCCCGCCTCTCTGACACAGCCAATCCGAGCAGGCTCTGTATTCATTAATAGAATACATCACTTGCCGTGATTGGCTCATATGACGTCCTCCCATTCTCCGCGCATGCGCGGCGATGCACTGTGTCCCTCGGACATAGCTATCACCGATCACGGAAAGAGCCAAAGATGTCGGCTCGGTCATGTGATCAGCTGTGTCCAATCACAGCTGATCACATGTAAACAGGGAAATGCCGGTTATCGGCATTTCTCTCCTCTCGAGCTGTCACGCTGACAGCTCAAGAGGAGAGCCAGTAATCGGCTTTACGGGACGGGACATGTACACTGATCATCAGGGCACTGATGATCAGTGTGCCCTGATGATCAGTGTAGCCCCAGCAGTGCCAGCTGTCAGTGTCCATCAGTGCCACATCAATGCCACATATCAGTGCCCATCTGAGCTGCCTTTCAGTGTCACCCATCAGTGCCAGTCAGTGCCACCTATCAGTGCTGCCAATCAGTGCCACCTATTAGTGCCAGTCAGTGCCGCTTATCAGTGCCATGTATCAGCGCTGCCTTTCAGTGCCCATCAGTGATGCATGTCAATGCCCATCAGTGCTGCCAATCAGTGCCGCCTATCAGTGCCAGTCAGTGCCGCCTATCAGTGCACATCAGTGCCACATATCAGTGCCAGTCAGTGCCACCTATCAGTGCGCATCAGTGTTTGCATATCATTGCCAGTCAGTGCCACCTAACAGTGCTAGTCAGTGCCGCCTATCAGTGCCATGTATCAGTGCTGCCTTTCAGTGCCCATCAGTGATGCCTGTCAATGCCCATCAGTTCCACCTACCAGTGCCTCCTCATCAGTGCCCATCAGTGCCACCTATGTCATATGGGTACAGTGTTGCATGACCGTGCAATTGTCATTCAAAGTGTGACAGCGCTGAAAGCTGAAAATTGGCCTGGGGAGGTAATGGGTATAAGTGCCCTGTAGGCTAGGGGTTAAATGGTGTTGCCTCAGAAGGGGGGTAGTCTTATATGACGAGTATAGCCCAAAACCTATGTTTTAACTGGAAAATTAGGGGGTCGTCTTATACACCCAGTCGCCTTATATGCCGTAAAATATGGTATTATAACCATAGTGATCTAGGCATGCAGACACACAAGGACTTAGCTAGCCAACCTCTGTGTTCTTGAAAAGTATCTCTGTCTTGGAAAGGAGTATCTTGAGAATCCAACCAGCAGACATGTTAGCTGCATTATGTCTTGACCCATGTTAAAACAGAGGTACATCAGTAAAGAGACAGCTCTGGGAAAGTGGAAATAGGAAATCTGTTGAGCAACAGTAGTACCCATTTTAAAATCTAATCTGTCCTGACTGGAATTTCAATCCCTAAAACAGTTAATATTGACATTGGTTAGCAGACCTTGTCTGTTGTTATCAGAGCACAGGATTCTTTCTGGCACAATCAGAGGCTTGAAGGATTACTGATTGTCCAAACATGGCTTGAAGTGTTTGTTCTGAAGATCTAAGTGTACAAGACCAAAGCTGTAGTTCCATGTTTAAAGAGGTACCCATAAAATATGTATGGGTACACAATCTCAAAAAGACCAGGAAGCTTCCTTTCTTCTTGAAGTGGAGCTTTTTTTTTTCACTGATTTCTTGGATAAGGACTCTCTCTTTCTAATGTGTCCTGGATTCCAAGCTGGGACAGCAGGTGCAATCCTTCTCAGAGTTAAGACACCAAACTGCAGTCTTCTTTTACTTGACAGATATTTACTCTGAGGCAGGAAGCCCAGCCTAAATGCAATCCCAGCTCCTTGCTATCAATTGAAGACAGCTTGCTCTTGAAGAGAACAGTTACAGCTCTTGCAAAGCAGACTATCACTTGTCAGAATTATTCTTTAAGGTAGAACTAATATTCTCCATCCTAACTTCAACTGCATTGTTTGCTTGTTTGCTGCAACTGAAGACATATATACCTCATAAGGTCAAGATCAATGTTGTGACTGAGTATATCCATAAAGCACTCAGTATCCTCTAATGATAACTTTATGTGTCTTTCTAATCTCATGAGGACTGCATTGACCAAATAGATGACTCCTTATGTTGGACACCCTCATTCTTAGAAGTACTGTATATAATCTGACATCCTGTTGTGCAGGTAGAAATGTCCTGGCTGGGATTTGAACTGAGGAACTCAGTGCTACAAGGTAGAAGTGTTAATCACTAAGCTTCTCTGTCCTGCTCAATTTCACTAAACTCTTTTAGAGTGAGTTTCTAGTTTAGACATCATCATAGGAGAAATTGTCAGCACCCTTTTGGCCCTTTTGGAGGTGTTGAAATACTTGCACTGCAGGTACCTCTGCAGTATCTTCCATTTTAGGCATCCTAACAACCTTACAAAGGGGCATATAAAAGCCTGCATATAGATTATCCTCATACAGATCTTCCTCTAAGAAACCTGACTGGTTCCGAAAGGAAAACAAATGAACATTGCCAAAGTAGAGGATCCTTGTACAGAGTAAGTGGAAACAAACTCCTTAAGAGTGTCTTTGCTAGTTATGACAATCTGTTAGTCATTGTCATCTTTTTCCCTGGCTGCTATAACAAAGCAAGATTCATACAGGTCTTTGCCTGGCAAGGAACAAGCACCACAGGCCAAGTTTAGGATGCACATAATGCATGCAGATCTGGAGGGGCTTATTGGTAAGAGTCCATTAGTCAACTTCCCATATACTTGAAATAAAAAAAAAACTTACCAGAAAAAATGTCCCTTACCTTCTTGGCAATGGCTGACTACAAGGAACTGGCAGTAAAAAAAATGCAGGATGGTAAGGTGTGTAGAGCATAGAGCCTTAAGAACCACAGAAGGACTAATAATCCAGGTAAAAGTATCAGTAAGTAAGGCACTCACCCCCCCCCCCCCCCACTAATCTTTATAGAGCAATCTTAGTATAGATTAGACTGTTGGCTGTTGATTGTTGCCTACTGTTGTTTCTTTTTGGTAGGTACGAAAACCCCCTAAAGGGATTTGACACTACAGGTTCGCACATCAAAGCACTGTAATTTCACCAGGTGGTTAATGAACCAGACCCTGTCATATAGAAAGCAGGACATGATAAAACAAACAGTTAGCAATTCAGAACAGAAAACAAAATGTAGTAAACTGCACCAAACTTTGATACAATGCTGCAATGTACATAGAGAGCAACCAGAGAGAAAAGTCATGTCCATTGTTTGTTATTTTTTTTTTTTTTTTTTTTTTAACAAAAGTGGGGTTACTCCTTTAATAACCCACATGGCATCTGGTCAAGTGTCTTGTGCTTAACTCAAACCACGCGCATACTAATGCATCTTAGACCTCTTCTGCTGGACAACTGATGCACAAGCTAGGCACGCTCTGGACCAATCTGTTAGAAGGGTATTTGGTCAAATGCCCTGATGGCTAGTTGTGGTCTTGGATATGCTACTCATCACATATGTGCCATGAATACAACTCTGATGTTTGCTGGGGAATTTGGACTCATCTTGGCACCATCCCATTGATAGATGGGAGTATGGTGTCACATGGTATCGCATGGTATCGCCATGATGCAATGAATACTGCCCCACTGACAGCTGGGGAACTTGGTATCATCATGTAACTGTCCCACTGATAGCTGGGAATAACTTGTCTCCACTCACGACTCTGCCAGAGATCCAGAAGCTGACATCTATTAGTAAACTAACGAAGGCAGGTCCCATGAGGAGAACAAAAAAGGAGCATATTCTCTGGCTCTTTCTCAAACTGTATAGGAGTTGGGTTTTATAGGGTAGGAGCTAGGGTAAAATCTACCTGAACATATGCTGCCATGGAGTAAGTCATGAAAACTTTTTTTTTGCAACCAGTGATAGGAGTTGGGGTTAAAATTTCACTGACCATCTATGATTGTGGGATTGTTTTAGAAGAGTTTAACGTGCTGCTGACCATTAAAACATTTTGTTTTGTTTTGGAGAGGGGGTTTTAAAATGTTTCTGGTTTATCTATGACATCTAGTGAAAGTACACGTGATTTCAGTGCAATGCAAGTTCATCCTACAGGGAACTTCCACTAATAATAGAAGACTTGCACTTCAGTAGGTGACTTTTAAAGGCTAAGCACAAGCCTTAATTTATTTTTTAACCATTTTCATACCAACCTGTTTCCTTGTTTCCAAAAAATTAGATCACCTAGGAGAGTTCCTTTTCCAAGAAGCAGTCATTTTGGATTCTTTTACTTTCTGGAATTTTTTTAGCATATTTTATACTAGAAATAAGAAAACATTTTTTCAGTGTCCTGTCTTTTTCCTTTATAGTACAGTGATCATTAAATACCACCAAAAGAAAGCTCTGTCTGTCTCAAAATGCTATAACATTCATTTGGGTACAATGTTGCAAGACAGAGCCATTGTCAATAAAAGTATCACAGCATTAAAAACTGAAAAATAGCTTGTACAGGTAAAGGGTGTAACATGTTGGTCCTGATGTGGTTACAATTAATTGGTTAATTGGTATTATTGGTGTGTAGACTCCTTTCACTAGGTTCATGGATTTCTTTTGGGTAAAGTATAGATTTTAATGAGTGGAACTGTTCACCAGCATCTTGTCAGTAGTGGTATGTAGGGGTGAATGCCACCTGATCCGATCCCCAGGAGTCAGAAAACAACGCTATGTGTTATGTATGGCCTCAGCCGTCACTCTAGTCACATCTTCTGACACATTTTGCCCCACCCATAGGGGGCTTGGTCACAGAGGCTTAGGAAACAGCTTGAAAGCTAGTTATTCTGTAGATCATTGGATGTGAAAACAGGTGTGTGTGCAGGTGATGTTGGGGAACAATTAAGAGAAGGATGATGAAAAAACTTTAAAAAACAATATATCAAACGTGAAAGAAAAATAATAAGATCTCTAAACTGAAAAGCAAAAAGCAGAGCAAACAAAAAAGAAAAAAGAAGAAAGAAATGTAATGAGAAAATAAATGTAAACAATATATCATGATGATGAAAAAATTAAAAAAGAAGTATGCAATAAGAACAAAAGTGTAAAAATATGAAAAAAATCAAAAGAAGGATGTATGTGTATATGTTTGTGTGTATTTCGTTACAAAGAATTAAAATAAACATTTCATTTGGCAAATAGAGCAAATATTAAAATGTGTGAGAAAAACAAAACGGAAAGAGTAAAGAATAAAAAATGTGAAAAATGATAATAGATGAAAAAAATATTAAAATAATGAAATATAAGGTAAAGATGGGTGACAAATGTATGTGAAAAATGGAAGAGAAAATTATATAAAAATAATAATAAAAAATTAGTAAAAAAGGAAAAAAACTTTTTTATTTAAAGTTTTACTAAACCCAAGACCATTCATTCACTCTATCTGGTCTCCCACAGTACACAGAACATGTAAATGCAATTATTTTAGTAAATATAAACTGCTAAATACATTTTCTCATCAGAAGTTAGAACAGTCTTGTGACTTCAGCAGAGCACTGGTTATAGCTTGTAGGAGGAGTTTTCTTTCTGCTCTAGGAGGATGCAAAACCACTGACCTCCATATGGACAGTGCTGATTGGCCCTTTACTGATCACATGCACTCTCCCAAGAAAAAAAAAAAGCTCTCTAGCAATACACACTAAACTGAGAATGTGCATGTGGCTATGGGTTCAGTCTGTCTTATCAGGTGGACATCTGAACAAGAGGAGGGGCAGA